GTCTCTGTCCTGAAGTCCTCTCACATTAGTCCTGGTCTCAGGTCTCTGTCCTGAAGTCCTCTCACATTAGTCCTGGTCTCAGGTCTCTGTCCTGAAGTCCTCTCACATTAGTCCTGGTCTCAGGTCTCTGTCCTGAAGTCCTCTCACATTAGTCCTGGTCTCAGGTCTCTGTCCTGAAGTCCTCTCACATTAGTCCTGGTCTCAGGTCTCTGTCCTGAAGTCCTCTCACATTAGTCCTGGTCTCAGGTCTCTGTCCTGAAGTCCTCTCACATTAGTCCTGGTCTCAGGTCTCTGTCCTGAAGTCCTCTCACATTAGTCCTGGTCTCAGGTCTCTGTCCTGAAGTCCTCTCACATTAGTCCTGGTCTCAGGTCTCTGTCCTGAAGTCCTCTTACATTAGTCCTGGTCTCAGGTCTCTGTCCTGAAGTCCTCTCACATTAGTCCTGGTCTCAGGTCTCTGTCCTGAAGTCCTCTCACATTAGTCCTGGTCTCAGGTCTCTGTCCTGAAGTCCTCTCACATTAGTCCTGGTCTCAGGTCTCTGTCCTGAAGTCCTCTCACATTAGTCCTGGTCTCAGGTCTCTGTCCTGAAGTCCTCTCACATTAGTCCTGGTCTCAGGTCTCTGTCCTGAAGTCCTCTCACATTAGTCCTGGTCTCAGGTCTCTGTCCTGAAGTCCTCTCACATTAGTCCTGGTCTCAGGTCTCTGTCCTGAAGTCCTCTCACATTAGTCCTGGTCTCAGGTCTCTGTCCTGAAGTCCTCTCACATTAGTCCTGGTCTCAGGTCTCTGTCCTGAAGTCCTCTCACATTAGTCCTGGTCTCAGGTCTCTGTCCTGAAGTCCTCTCACATTAGTCCTGGTCTCAGGTCTCTGTCCTGAAGTCCTCTCACATTAGTCCTGGTCTCAGGTCTCTGTCCTGAAGTCCTCTCACATTAGTCCTGGTCTCAGGTCTCTGTCCTGAAGTCCTCTCACATTAGTCCTGGTCTCAGGTCTGTCCTGAAGTCCTCTCACATTAGTCCTGGTCTCAGGTCTCTGTCCTGAAGTCCTCTCACATTAGTCTCCCACTGGTCCTGAACTGTGCTATACTAATAAATGAAGCGGTGTCTGTGGTACTCACAGGGCGGCAGCAGCAGCAGCAGCAGCAGCAGCAGCAGCAGCAGCAGGTCCATGCT